ATAAGAAACCTGAAACTTACAGTTTTGAATAATAATACCCGCATTGATCAGAAAATATTAGAGTGGGAATTTTTTTAGAAACTACGAGTAGTTAATTCAATAAAAGATTAAGAATCTTTCAGTACTAAAAATTCTCAACGCTTCTTATAAAAAACGAGTTTATGCTAAACTCCCCCTGTTATTTGTTAATGTCCTTGAGTCCTTATCATAAATTCCTATGACAAAACTGCTGTGGAGCAAGAACACATTGCAAAAACTGCAGTAGAAGTATTTGATCAAAGAAGAGTATTTCATCTTTCGAATCAGGCATATGCACAAGTTTGTTCTCAAATAATCATTTCAGTTGTAAAGAATGAAAAGGCATTTGGCCCTCTGAAAAGTTTAAAGGTAGTTTTCTTCGATCAAGAACGAAAATAAAAGGCCCAAATTCTTGGTGCTTCTATATCGTGAAAAAATGTATTTTAGATAAAATTGATCAATTGATCTGAAAGAATACTACTAATCATTAAGTATATCTAATACTGGTTTTGCTTAAATGTTGCTTTACTTCTTACAGTATGTTTAATGTTTGTTTCATGTTAATCAAAATTTAGAGATTTAGGCTTTTATGCTTTAGGCTAATTATTGAGTAAAGATTTGGTAATTATAAAGAAAATAGAACTATGGTGCTCGGGCTATTTACAAATATCAATTTGGTAGGTACAACAGATCTACTGGTCGAATGAAAAATTTATCACTTGAAGTTGGAATTTTCATACTTCCACGCCCCCCAAAATTAGCAACTTGTTTTCGTCCCTGTCTGAATCAATGACTTTTTGTACAGTAAATAGGCTAACTAATTTAGTGGAGAGTCATGTTCCTAATTCCTGAGACTATCAATTTAAGAAATGTTAAGCAATGAAGCAATTGATTTTTAAGCACAGGCTAAGGAAATAATTTATCAATTTAGATTTGAAAGTGGATTTTGATGTGCATTTCTATTTAAACTTGCATGCCAGTACAAAGTTTTGCTTCATGATAACACAAAGGTTCAGTCCTTGCTTTTGGCCCCCAAGTTTTCACTTTGTAGTTTGTTGATTGATCACTTTACATATGATATCAAATGATATGATATGAGATAATTATTGTTGAAAAATTACATTGATATCTTATTGATCTAAGCATGTATATGTTCATCTTTCATAGCTTTCATAGGTTTCATTGACTAATCTTTAAAAAAAATTATTTTGGTTTCATAAGAGAGAATTTTTACAACACTCAATATTATGAAGTAACTTAGTGTTATCTCTTCCATGGCATTGTTCTAACTGAGTAAGTAGCTAAAACATATTAAAATAATAAAAATAAAGTTCTTAAAACGTAATGAAGCAGAAAGCCTAAATTGACACCTTCTTCTAGTGGTGACACCAGCTACTGCAGGGTTGGAGAGTTATGGGCATGACCAGTGAGACCAATCCCATATTGCCTTATTTAATGCTTTATACCAGGTGTATTTCCTTAGGCAACTCTTAAAAATATGCAACCTTACCCTACCTAATGTACTTTTATCAATTTTTAGAAAAAAAAATGTGACCCTGTTTTGACAAAAGTTGAAATAGGGGCTATTAACCCCCCTCCCCTAACCAGCCCTTGAGCTGCTGCTACCCTGTATCTACCTTACCTGTTAAAAATTGTTTATAAGCTCACAAGGATATACTGCAATTTTTTAAAATAAATTGCCTGACATTCACTCATCTCTAATTTTAGAATGACCTATATGGCCTCCTTTATTATACTTGAGGAGATTCTCAATGTATTCACAATAAATGTTCTAAATCTACCTTTCTCTTTGCTTGCAGGCTGAGCTTGTTGCCCTCAGGAGTGACAAAGTAGAAGCCAATGCTAAAGTGCAAGTACTTGAAAAAGAATTAAAAAATACATTATTGCAGTTGCATGCAGTTCAGTTGCAGCTCCATTCTACAACTGGCACTAATACAGAATCAGATGCTATTAAGTTAAAACTGGTATGTACCATCGTGATTTTATTTTATGTACTAGTGATGGGAGGCCTTGGGACTATGTCCCCAGTTTTGTAAGCTATCCAGAGAAACTCTGGTGCAAGTCAGTTAATTAGGTTAAAATGTTTGGCAGCAAAGATTATTTAATGGTAACTTCATGCTCAGCATTTAGCTTTCTTTGTTCTCTGTGTATTGTACTGTGTACCATTAACTCTAGTTAGTATTTGAATTGTATACACCAATTCGACTTACGGCCTCATTTTGAAAAATTCTTCAATTTTGTACAAAATTTTTTACCTCAGTGTAGGATTGAGAGCAATTATTTTAATCTACTTGGAAATTTTCATTATGGTATTGCTCACGATATTAATTTTATGGCAACATAAAGATAAAAATTGTATAAGAGATTTGACAGAGATTGGCAACTAGGGGGGGGGAGGTAGAGTTTCCTCGTGAAACGATTTTTGCAGTCAAATCCATTACCAGTTTTCAAACTTCATTTCTCCGTAAAATCTAAAATATATGCTCAAACAATATGAAAAATTGTATTCGGCCTAAAATTATGGTGATAAAACCATATCTCAGCTTAAAAAAGTCGTATAATTAAGTTTGGAGAAATTTCTAAAACGAGTTTGTAAGTCGAATTGGTGTATTCTGTAATTACCACGCACATAATCATGTCAGCATGCTCATTTTGCTCTTACACCATTAGCTATTTACAATTTATTCTTTATTTTATGGTAAAAATATTCAATGCAAAATTCACAAACTTTGTAGTTCATTAATCTTTAACAAGCTTCTTAAAAAGCTTCTGTTTAATGTTTGAATTGTTATTTCTGGTGTTAGGATAGATTCTAAATTTTTTATTAGATATAAGGTCCCATTTACAAAGAAGTACTTGCTCAGTTTGATTGTGTTTTAATATAAGTTAAACAGCCATAAGTTTTGTATAGCTAATCCAAAGTTGATATTTGTTAAATGTTTGATTCAATGCCTCTACTGCAAAGGTAGGCGATGCTTCCATAATTCTTGTCACTCTCATTGAAGGGCTGTATCAAAAGCTATGCTTGTTTTTCAGAACAGTTTAGACACAAGCAAGTTCTCCTTTTGTAGGAATCAGAGCTATCACAATTTAGAAAAGATGCCATTAAGGAGGCGCAACTGATAGAAGAGACTGTGCAATTCAAAAAAGAAAATGATGATCTTAGAAAATATATTTTACAAATGCAAGGAGAGGTGTATGGTGCCAGGTTGGCAGCAAAATATCTAGACAAGGAGCTTGCGGGCAGGTGAGTACTGAAAAAGGAACATTATTTTGTTAGTTTTTACTTTGGTACTAAAGCTGTTTATTAATATTTATAAAAACAAAGCTTAACCTATTGTGATAAAGTACAATGAAACGGGGAATCCTAATATATGTAAATATCTTTCAAAGGTCGACCAGAAAGAGCAAGGTGCATGAAGAAATTTTTTGAAATTATACCTTGTAAAAGGGCTAAAAAGCATCTTTCAGACAAAAATTTAGCAAAATACTATTGTGCTAAAAGAACTGATTGTTTATTGAAAATATTATTGTTTATTGGGAAAAATAAGGAGGGGGATGTCATGCTAAAACTCTAGTGTTAGACGTTGGGGAAGGAAAGAAACGGCAACCTTTCGTTTCAGATTGCACGTAGTTGTGAATGACAGAGGAAGATGTTGTTTTGATTGGGAGAATTTTTTTTCCTGAACAGAAATGTGCAGTTTCTTGTCTCGAGAAGGCCATGTTTATTCATCCAAAATTTAAACATTGCAATGATACAGAAAGTGATTTACTGAATTAATGCAAATAAAAGAAAAATAATAGAAATATACGTGAAAAAGTTAGCAATTAGATGAAACAAAATCGGAAAAAAAATTCCTATCTTGACCAAAGTGAGGGACTTCAGCCCCTTATTCCTCCCCAGTGACGCCGTGCTTGTCATGAAAATAATTTACAACTTAAATTAATTTATTTGGACTGAGTCTTGCCCTCATAAACATATACATCAATCATTGCATCCATTGGCTATGACTTTCGGTAAGGAATGCTTTCGCTTTGCTAATAACGGAGCTCTTCCTGACATACCTTTTCCGTTCTCTAAAATGCAATGTCAGGAAGGGAGGTTTATAACAAATATAATATTTCCATTTCAAAATTCGTGAACGGCCCTTTACGAACTTCAGAGGTGGCATTTCTGCGTGGCAACAAAGCTTTTCTTGGCGCCCTGCGAAATCTTCGATTGCCCTGCGAAATCGACTATTTTTTGGATTGGGGGGGTGTCACACCCCCCCACACCCCCCCGGTAGTTTCGCCCCTGGGTTTTAGGGCTACCGTACGACAGGCTACCAGAGTGCACCTATGATCATTTCTCTGCAAGGAAATCACGCCAAAATACGACAAGCATGGGTTAAATGGAGACTTAGGTATGTAGAGCTGGTGACTGGTCAGTACAAGGCTTAATGTAGTGATGCCATGCAGGAAAAGATTTGAGAGAGATTTCAAACATTTGAGAGAGATTTGAGACAGATTTGTTACGTTTTCAGTGCCCTGCTAATTTTGTGAAACGAATACGTGATTAAAAGTTGACTTAAAATCACTATGGAGTTTGTCATTTAGCTGGTTGCCATGCTGGGTTTGGTTGTAGCCGGTTGGTTAAAGCAAGAACAAATTGAATGCTCAATTTGTTCTCTCTAGTTATTGTCTGTAGTTATTATGTCACTACCCGGTTTTTCATACTTTGTGGAGTGTGTCAAGAAAAGTACTTTGATGTGTTGCATATGAACAAATTTGCTTTATCAGAGCATTATGCTTATAGGGAATCGAGAAGTTCTTGTACCTTCGAAATGTTCGTAGGGGTATAGACTACGCCCATTCAACCTCGGTATGCAGTTTCTATGGCACCACTGATTGCAAAACAGTGCTCTTGAACCCTCGAATCTACAGCCCCACTGGTTTCAGGAATTAGAATTGCCAACAAGCTTAAACTAGTCCAACTCGAAACATCAGTAATGGACTATAAAGAGGCTAGCCCCAGAAAATCCTATTGGATGTTTTTGAAATTGTCAGATAACCAAGCATGGTTTTCCACAACTCTGAAACTGATTTGCAGTTTCGTCGAAATGAAGACATCTGATGGAAGAATATTATTCCCCTAAAGTGGTGCCAAAGTCTGATGTGATATCCTCGTTTATTCGCTTCAATTCAAGGCTGAAGATTTTCGAGGATTTCTAATTCCGTTTTCTTTTTAGCTTACATCAGAACTGACATTTTGTAACCATTGATGTTAAAGATATTTGAATATATCAGTATTGTAGTCTTTTTTTACAGGACCAAATGAAAAACAAATATTCAATTTGAATTCCAGACCCTGTTAAATGTTATAATATCAAATTAAGTCAATCCTGAATCTGCTATTGGTTAAATAGTATCGCCAGAAATAAGGGAATTACTAAGCTCAATGAAGATTACCTTTAGATCTCTACATCTTTAACCCAACCTTCTCAATTTCCATTTATAGGATACAACAAATCCAATTGTTAGGCCGTGATATGCGAGGTCCGGAACACGATCTACTCTGGAATCAAATCGAGGCAGAAATACATTTGCATCGACATAAAACGGTTATACGCGCGTGTAGAAGTAAAAAGAAACCAGAGCCGCCCGCACCAACTCGTCCGGAAATAAAGGAAGGAGATCATCCGTCCGAAATCGTCAGGAAAAAGAGAGGAATTGGTGATATGCGAATTGTTGAAATACATAGAGATAAGTCGGAAGGCCTTGGAATTTCTATAACGGTAATTTTCAGTGGCTTTTTTATTTCTTTTATTCTCGACTTTTTAACTGCTGTGAAAGGTGTATCACCTAAACGTAGATAAATTTCCTATCATTTTTTTAAATAGCAAGGTATATCATTGTTTTAAATAGCAAGATATATCATTTTTTAAATAGCAAGGTATATCATTTTTTTTAGATAGCAAGGTATATCATTTTTTAGATAGCAAGGTATATAATTTTGTAAAATAGCAAGGTATATCATTTTTTCGAATAGCAAGGTATAGCATTTTTTAAAATAGCAAGGTATATCATTTTTTTAAATAGCAAGGTATATCATTTTGTTTAGATAGCAAGGTATATCCTTTTTTAAAATAGCAAGGTATATCATTTTTTTAGATAGCAAGGTATATCATTTTTTAAAATAGCAAGGTATATCATTTTTTCGAATAGCAAGGTATATCAATTTTTTTAGATAGCAAGGTATATCATTTTTTAAAATAGCAAGGTATATCATTTTTTTAAATAGCAAGGTATATCAATTTTTTAAATAGCAAGGTATATCATTTTTTAAAATAGCAAGGTATATCATTTTTTCGAATAGCAAGGTATATCAATTTTTTAAATAGCAAGGTATATCATTTTTTTAAATAGCAAGGTATATCATTTTTTTAAATAGCAAGGTGTATCAATTTTTTGAATAGCAAGGTATATCATTTTTTGATATTCTGATGCCTTTATGAATTCTTATGCTGCATGTGTATCGAGAAAGAGTTTAAAAAAGGGATGTCGTTTCCGTCAAATATGATGATTTTTAATATTTCGTTATTTTCATGATTTCCATATACATACTGTAATAACGTTGCGATACAACCAAACTACGCGCGCGTAATAACAATCACTAGAATGCACTGAGCGTGGCAACTCCTGTGACCTAATAATGTGATTGGTCTATTACTTTTATCGTTAATTTTGTTAACATTATTGCATATTGTAGTTATATCAATAGACTTTGAAAAATATGAAAAATCAGTCGATTTCTCATATATAGGCCAATAATATGTGTGTTGAATATTTTACGTCTCTAAGCTTATATCCCTCATTAGAATACGGAATATTGGCTGCTCAAATATAGATTATATTATGCATGATGTCTAATATCCTTTTCTTACTTTCGTCCAGGGCGGGAGAGAGCATGGCGTTCCGATTTTGATATCAGAAATCCACGGAGATATGCCCGCAGCTAAATGTGAAGACCTTTACATTGGAGATGCTATTTTATCAGTCAACGATCAGGATCTACGTAGCGCGACTCATGCACAAGCAGTCCAGGTTCTAACACGTGTTTATGGTAGAATCAAGATGGAAGTACTTTATGTAGATCCGCAAGGGTCAGACGACGAAGGCGATTGGGAAAACGACGAGGCGCAACGGTATGTAAAACATCTCTTTGACTTTAGTTGTGTAATTTTTATAGTTCAGCTCTGTGTTGGATTATAAACTGAAATAAGTCATTAACTTTAGGTAAATTCGCAAGTGAGCTGGAAGCTTCCATTCAGTGGTTTTCGCTACTTTTTCTTTTGAAAGAAGTGTATACTCAATTGGGTAGTGTTTGTCTTCAGGAAAGAAATGCTGTTAGCCATTTACACCGTTCAAAATTATTGGTCTTCTCAAGATTCACCTGTTAACTTCATACAGTCATAGTTTTCTTTTTTTGCTCTTTCCCCAATGCCTTCCAGTAACTTTGCCAAGAATTATACAATGTGTGATGCCTTTGCCAAAACAGATATGCCAAAATGACTAACTCGAAGGCCTTTCATTGCCTTAACTCGGGATGCAGCTTTTCAATCGTTTTCAAGTACTATTCGAAATTGTCTTCTGCCTTTCATGTGCTAGGGCTTAGAATTTTTGTTATTACATTCATATACAGTAAAACCGCGTGTAAGAACCTAGGGATTTAAGAACCTTCTGGCAGAAATTTGCTTTTTCACAACTGCAAAATATAAGAACCTGTTTAGCCAAACAACTTCCTACAGGTTCTTATACGTGGGGTTTCAACATTTAATTTATATACATAGTCTACTTTTTTACCAATATCGGAAAAGACGACGAAATATTAAATTGTTAAAATAAAACTCAAAAAGCACAATGAATATTAAATTTGAACTGTTATTATGAGACGATTATTGCTACTATTTTATATACAGTACTGTATCATTGATCAATTGTTGGTGGACATTTGGCAATATTGGTACACTAATAATTATTTAGAATGAAGGACAGACCAGATTTAATGCTTTTTTCTGATAATCAACATCAATATCGACTCTGTGGAAATTGAAAACCTAATTAAGAACCTATTTAGCCTAAGCTGTCAATAAGTACCTCATAATACAAGAACCTGTTATGCCAAACTCTGAAAGAAGTAGGTTCTTACACGTGGGTCTGTACTGCACTCTATTCTTTATACACCATCACATTTATATTTGCAAAAGCGTGGAATATTCTTGCCGTAGTTTCTGTTTGTTATTTAGTTTGTCTCTGTTAGGCTTTTTGAACATCAGGCTACGAAAGAATAGGCTGCTTATTATCCGATTAAAGTGAATGACTAAGTTCATCCTTTTCATCATTTTTAATAATCGTTATAGGGCCTACCAGTGTTAGAAAAACCTGACAACTCTCCAATGCTATCAAGCTTTCCATGTTCTTCTTTATTGATACTGAATATATCGATTGTTAATTAGCTTTAAAACGACAGTGGAAGCTACAGAATAGTGCATCTGTATTTAATGTTAGTTTAAAAAAGGAGGAAGTTACTGTTGTTTGAAGAAAAAAGGGATATAGACGCAAAGTGGGTTATCGAGAGACTGTTTACACAAGTTGGCTTTGGGTAATATATTAAGAAACCATTGTCTCTAAGGACATTCAAAAGTTACTTGCAGCTTGACTCAAAAGAGCAAGAACCATATTCTAGGGCTCGTGTATTTTAATTGCAGAGTCATTTTTATTGTGAACGTTTGCCAACATCTGACTTTATTCACCAATAAACTGTTGTGTTGCTTTCGTAACAGGTATAGCATGCTTGGCCTAGTTGAGGATCCATCAGATCTTGCGTCAGAATCTGAGGTAGCATTGACGAACACCAGGAGAGATCCTGCTAACTACAATGGTGTAAACGGAGATACGAGGTAGTTTCTTTGTTTCGTTGCTTTAAATTAAGTCATATGTGTTTTACAACGGAATTTGCTTTCGTTAAGACTAATCTCTCCTTACATGGATATTGGTCAATAAAGCATTGATGACCAGCGATGTCGTCGCATATGAAGATCTCAGAACTTCTATTTATCTCAAATGTTCCCAATCTTGTTATTTTTACATTTGTTTGAATTATCTTTGGAAGATGATCTCCGATTTCTGAGCCATCTTCAAGGACTCTTTCACGATAAGGTGTGACTATGCATGAGATTAAAACCCTCTAATGTAGAAACTCTTTTAGAATAAATCGAAGTTTTGCAATGAAAACTTAATTGCCTTCCTTATTGAAATCTTGGGTTTAATTTGTAGTTACACATTGCAAAAATAATCCAGAGTTCGCTTTAAAGGCAACGTGTTTCTTTATAACACAAACACGTTGTTCCTGGAAAATAATCCATAATTTGGTACTGTTTCTAATTTGTAAAAAGCCAAAAGATTAATATTTCGTGTGTTTTTTGCAGGCCTGACATCAACGATGTTCTGAATCTAAACGCACGTATTGATGACAGCAATGCGTTAGAGCAACGACTAGGGACAGATTCTAACGCTCCGTCGGACATGTCACATACAAATTCTGCTACTAATTCACCGCCTTCAAGTCCGGATAGACAAGACAAAGCTGGCAAGGGACAAAAAACTGAAAAACCTTACGTATCCTATACGAACACTGGTGGGCCGGGGTCAGCCCAAAGGTATGTAAGAACTTGACACCCAGGCTACGGTAGGCGCTTGTCAATTATGCTGTCTTCGAAGCCTTGTTTTGAATAAGGTAAGGGTATGTTTATGCCAGACAGGCTGTGTTCTGAACAAAAATTACGCTGTCTGTAATATGCACACGAAATCGTATAGGACCATACAATACCTATATCCTAAGTGCAAAATTTAGGGCGTGACAAACTTTTATACAGAAAATTTCCCGTGCGTTGATTTGTATGAAAAAAGTTTGTTATCTTCTTTCATGATATCCTGCAGTGTAATTCTCTTGTTTCCTATAAAAACTTTAGGAGGCAATCAGAAGAATCTCTAACATAGCGATCTAACTATCTCTAACTTAGATCTGTCTTTTGACATAGTGAATTCTTTAAGTCACTGTCGTTGGCCACTACCAACCATGTTACCATAGTCAACAAAATACGATGCGACCCTTGATATTTCAAGAGGGACATCTTTATACATGTCTTATCTGACTTGGCCATAAGAATTAATCATTCTTGCAACAGCATTTAGTTGAATTGAACAATTTGTTCTTCGTTATCCTTTGTTCAAAACAACCTCCGCATTTTTAACGCACCCAGGATCACCAAGTTGTTTCAAACACTTTCCAGTCTAATGCGGCCCACAAAACAAGTAAAATGGCTTCCTCAAATACTAGTTTCCATTATCAAGAATCACTAATACGCCACTTTGTTTATGATAATTATAACAAAATTGCAATAGATTTTTCAATCCCTACCTAAAGTTTTCTCCAACCATTCAATAGCATTTTGCTAGTATGAATAATAGAAAAAACGTAGGGATGAACGTTGATCTGCAATTTTTTATTGAAGTTAGAAAAAGGTAGCAAGCTTTGTTTTCAAATTTGTTTGTTCGAAAAGTCTAGCAAATTTTCAAAACTGTCTTTGTCGATTTTTTTCGTCCGAAAATTTCTCGTTCGCGGATAATTGCACTTAATCTGGGAAGAAGATTTTCATGGGAGTATAACAAGAACAAGTACAACGTACCTTTACCATACAATTGTAAAGTAACCCATTTTTATTGCTATGGATGATTTTTCAGATCCTTAATCTTCATTTATCAAATGGAGCTTATTTTGTGCGATAATTGCATTAGCCTAGTTTCCGTACTCATTGAAGTATCCTAAGCGTTGGTTTGCAGTCCTATGCGACAATCATAACCCGCATAGTTTGACGTCTTTAAACCCTATCTCGATCTTCTTCTAAAGATATAGATCTTGTTAAGCAGGTCATACCATAAAGACGGCATTTGATTTCCGAGCCAAGCTTAAACCACTAAAATGTACACCCTGCACATTTTCATCTTAACTTTAGCTTGTGTGGTCATAGACCCCACAGAGCTTCATTGAAAGTAAACATGGGTTCAGAAAATTTTATTTTCATGAACTAAATTTAAGTTTCATTAGATTAAAAGAAATTTGCACGATGTTATTTGACTATAGTAATGAAAATATTAAATTTATTCGTTTAAGAAATGTCTCTTAAAGTTAACAGAGCCATTGATTTACGTATTGATAGAATTAAGTATTAATTAAAACATAAGAAGGGAATTTTTTGTTTTTTGTAGAAAATCAATTTACAGACATAGATTAAATGACGAATTTCATTCATATGCCTTTTAGAGAAAAATGGCAATCTTATTACTCGTGTCTTTGCTGGTGAATTTGCCGGCATGTCTAAAGACTCCTTCTAACATTCACTTGTTGAATATCCATCTTATTGATATCTATATCTTTCTTGTTGTTTTTTGTCGAAATGCTAGACAATTCCTTTTCGCCAAAGCCCTGAAGACATGGCGTTCACATCGTCAACGATCCATTCAGGCCAATAAAAACAAAAGAAACTTATGCGTCACCCCAACCCCACTTTTTAAATTGTTTTTCAGAGGAAGGTTTTCAAAGTAGTGTCCGGAGTAAAGACAAACACTTTTCTTGGCCTTGTTTTTCGCTTCTAAGATATTTCAAGGTTAAGGGCCCTGTTTAAAAGGGTAAGCCTATCAAGATACAATGTACAAGACTGAAAGTGTCCTTCAATATTTATGATGGCTTTGAAAAAGCAAACATTTTATAACAAATTGGCTAAAAGCTTTTTCATCTGACACTCCTCAGAGCATAAAACGTCAGAATAAGGGTCCGAAAGAACACAATATGATGGAAAATATATACCCAGTTGTGGATCAAAATAGCCAATTAGAAAAACGCAAGCACAAGACCGGTATAGTTGATCAATCAGTGCCGCGTGCCTAAAGAAAATTTACCACTGGAGTCCAAGAGAGAAAACGAACTCCTTCTGTTTACACAATAGCGGCTTTTTCATTTGTATGTAGATCGATTCCAAAACTGCTAGATAGAAAGACGACTGGGCTCTGCCAATTGCCTCAAACATGGCGTCATTATAGAGTTTTGCACAATCTTGGTTATCTAAAATATGTTGACCGATGGCAGAATCACTTGTTTTAACGGTGTTTTTAGAACTAAAAGATCGACGAGGCTGTACTATATAAGAGAAGTTTTGTTTCTTATGCTGGAAGGAACATACTAATTACCTGATCATTTTTATCTTTTGCATTCTTGTCACGTTTGTCTCGTAATGGGGTCAAATTTGCATTTGTTCGAAAATCCCAGTGAAGTTTATTGAATCATTGAATCAGTGATACTAGCAAGATGCCGAGAAAGATTTCTACAAGAAACTGTTCAGTTAGTTCTTCATTCAAGTGTACATCAAAGGTGAAAGGTTATAGCAAATCAGACCTTAAACGATCCAAAAAATTTCCATTTAATCTAAAATTATTAGAGAAGAGAAACAGTGGCCATTCTAGGTTTTAGTTTTTGAAATATTGTGTATCATATCGTGAAAATTTACAACTGATATAAAAAGCAAATCCATGTTAAATTTTTCTCTTCTGCAAGTTGATCAATCTTGCTACTATCTTGAGGACCAAAGTTTTTATTCTAAAATGAAAATCCTCTTAATGTCTCAACCCCTTTTTTGTAACATAGTTTCTTTAAAAGTACTTAGATTTCCACTATGATACTCGAATCCAACGAATCACTAATAATACAGTTTTTATGATGATAAAAGAGAACCTATTCTTAAAATTCTAACATGACGTTGAGACCGCCGAAATTTGCCAAAAACTATATCATTTGCACAATCAATTGGTTAGACAATTTATGTGTCTATGTTTCTTATCATTAAACCGCTAAAATATTGCAAAGGCGCTTAAATTCAATTTCAGATTTTACACAAATTGAGTTTATGCTTAGCTTTCTGATAAAAAAATCTAATAATGATTTATTGTACTAACCTTATATTCTAGGTAAAAGTTCATTTTTGCAGCCATTCCTTTTTGCAAAAAGAAGCAAATGTACATGAACCTTTCGCAAGTGATAGATAAATGACAGATAAAATCAGATGCACGACGTGTCAAATCAATTTAGAATAATTTGTTTTCGTCATTTACTGAAGTATATATTGATGGAGTTGAATATGGGACAACGTTAAAATGTCACTCTTTATGTTAAAAATTATTCCAAATTAAATTCTGCTAAATTAATTTGCTGGCGTTTTTTAAAGAAATATTTCTCTCTTTTTTTAAAGAATTTGTTGGCCTCTCTTTATGCGCTCTTTTAGCGAGAAGTTTAGGCCCTTCCGGGCTAGCGATGATACCTAAAGATATTGTGCGTTTGTGATTTGTTTCGGCTTTAGCAACTCCGCTTGAAAAAAGCGTGTCTTCATAATTAGGTGTTTACTTGAAAAGTCTTCTTAAAAATATCACAGCAAGTTACTTTTTCCAACGTGCCTTTGATTGCTTCGATCCACTCTTCGCATTCTTCACGACTAAACGTAGCCCATACCATCTCACCTCTAAGCAGTCTGTGATCTATCTGCATGGAAAACAAAGCTTTCAAATCTAAAACACCTTTCGGGAACTGCATTGATTTCCATCTGTAGCAAGATTCACCAACAAGTACCCTCTTACAATCCTTTTTTATGTCGAATTGGTATTTTGGAGGCTTAGCGTTTGATTGCGGCTTACCGTATATCGCTAACTTTGCGTCCTCATATAAAACAAGGTACCTCAACTTCCATTTTTTGAAGAAAATATTGTCAAAGTGCAAGTAAACCCATCCACTTTTTACAACAACCATCGTCGAAGATTTATCTCTTTTCAACAGTGTCCTGTTTTTTCGAATTTTGAAATTTTTGAGATTCCTGCTCTGTTGACCTAATATCATGTCAGAACATGTTCGCTCCCACTCCTTGAAATGCCTCTTCGCTTCGAAAGTGATGCACGTACACGCCATGCATTAGGATTACAGCATTGTTCAACAGCGATGCAACGGAGAATGAGTTTTGTATGGAGCATATTTGGACAATAATTATTGACTTTGTGCTGCCTTCAAGCTTTTTGTTTGGTTTAAAAAGCATATGTCGCATTAACAGTTGGCTTATAAAACAAAAGCGTTTGGAGTGGAATTCCATTGTTTTGTGACTTTTCATTTCTTCTTCTTGAATTTTTACTGCCGAAAAAATTCACCCTCGATTGCATGCTTTGTGCTAAACAAAAAATGCCCTTTAATGCAATTTTTTATCTGTTGATTGGGAATAATCATTTGTAGTGACTGTGTATTTCTTTTTCCGCTCTCGTCAACTCATTATACCCCTTTTGTTTTGGCCATTCTCACTATAATCGCTATGAGAAGGTTCGTTCTCCCAGCTCAGACCCGTAGTTTTCCTTTGAAGAAATCGACAATGCGTGGTGTTTATCCACCCATCGAATTTCACAAAAATAGATTCTCAACCAGAAATGAATTACTGCAGCAAGCTACTCTATCCCTTATAAACTTTTTAACAAGAAATTTCTAGAATGTGCTCGCACAACATCACGTATCCCACTGCTGAAAACTGAGACAATAATGCGATCTGAGCAATATTTTCATTATATTCTTAAAATGCTACAACCGGGATCGTCGCTAGCTATTGTGCTCAAGAGGATTTCCAAGTCCCATTTGCTGACAAAGTGGGTGAGCCATGACTGCAAAAAACACCTCGTTTTTGCGATGGAAATTTTTTCAAGAGGGGGGGTGTCACGCCCCATGCGCCCCCTTTAGCGAAGGGCCTCCACGCAGCCATAAACTATTAGCGAGGGTGTCGTTCTATAATCTGGTATTGGGCATCGGTGTATTAACGAACTCGTGTTCATTAAACTAACGATTATAGCTAACGAACAGAGATGCAAGATTGGCTTCTAAAAATGTGCCGATGACAATCCAGGATTGAACCAAACCGATTACATTGGGTTTGGGAGGCTCCAGAGAAAGCATTATCCTGGCGAAAGTGTTCACTTTTGGTATTGTTGCGCTGTTTGGGGCTGCTGTGGTTCAACGGAAATTACCAAATTGCAAAAACTTCAAAATCGTGCTGCAAGGGTAATAACAAATTGTAGCTTTGATGCCCCAAGGAGACCACTTATCCAAGAGCTGGGACGGAAGACCATTGAAGAATCTATAAACTGTGAAACAAAAACAATGGTTTACAAGTCCTTGAATGAGTTGGCTCCAGAATACCTCTGTTGCCTTTTCACCCCTCCTTAGGTTCCTGGAGTTCTTCTGAGGGTACGCATTTTTTTGTTTATCATTTATTATCTTTGCCGCTCTTCCTTTGTGACCGACCTTGTCACAGACAAACTTTTCATTCTCTGCATTTTTGTGCTGCTGTTATCATCTTTCTAGTAATTTCTAATAGATATTAACATAATGAGTGTAGTCAAAGTGGTCATCATATTTCAGGGCACTACATGCCCCCTCTGCCCCTCTTCGAAGAGGGCAGGAAGGCAGCTGCCCCTCCAGCCCCCCTTGTGTAGGCGCCCCTGCCTGAGACTGCCCAGGAAGACACAGCAAATAGGCAAAAATGTTTTTCTTATAGAGGAGCAAGACTGTGGAATAGCCTCTCATCTGAGCTAAGCAGGTATCAACACTGAATAGTTTTTAATGTTCTATTTAGTGGAAATTTGTCTTTTTTGTTTCTATTATTATTCTTGTATATTGTTTTATGTAAATATGTATACTGTATACTGTATAATATGTATATTTAGACCTTGCAAAGGCGTTCGACACCATTGATCGCGAATTTTCACAGACTTGAACACTATGGTATAAAAGAAACTTCCTTCAAATGGTTAGATTTTATTTTACGTGTTTATGAAGGTTTATCGTGGTGTCCCTAAAAGAAGTGTACTAGGCCATCTTCTCTTGCGTTTAAATTGGCATGCCCTCATCTTCCCAGATTTAGACTCTTTGTTGACGATTTTCAGCTTTTCTTTCATAAAGATCACAATAACAAGCTAAAAAGGTCAAAACCAAAATGTGTTTTAGAATAAATAACAGTCCTGTCATGGAAAGAAGTCGCAGTAGATACTCAAGTGTTTAGATCAATAATATACTGAGCTGAAAATAAAATATTTGATAGTAATGACACTTACTGTTTACGTGTTTGTCATAAAGTGCTAGATGTCTTATAGGCAGAGCTGTAACAAAGGTTGAAGTGGCTTGGGGCTCAGGGGGTGCAGCCATACTTGTTACATTCTCCACAGGTTAGCAATTAAGCCAGAAAAAAATTAGATTCAATTGACAGACTTGAACGCATTGCAAGCTATATACGCATGAAAATGTACACCAGGCTTGACATGGCTAAATATAAAAAGTCTTGAAAGATTTCTTACTGAGTACGGTTAGTTGCTGTTCGTATAGACAGTTTTTTGCTGCATTTAGGATTATTCTAAATTGATTTGATGTCAAATTTCAAAAGCAAATACTACATTTTCGTTAAAGTAGACTACATAGCAATTACTAGCTACATTGGCGGAATCTTATGTTGTTGAATTGCAATTAATTTGAATATGTTCACTGAATTTTTTCAGACTTATGGACCGATGGGTAGTGCCTTCTTAATCTCTATTCCAATAGTAGTCAATAGGAGGCTAATGTAACATTACTGCAGTTGGTCGGCGAGAATGTGAAGTAGGAAGCTTGCCGGTAAAGTAAGGGTTTTAATTCCAATTAAAAAGAGATGTCCCGCCAAAATGCCGCCAAAGGTGTTGCTGATGCTAAAAAAGTGGTATATACTCAGAATTTTTGTTTAAATCAAACTCTTTTTCAGGATAATATCCATTCCTGTTTCCTGAATCGTCTGAATCATCATATTAATTTAACTCAATTAAGGACCTCCAAAATTGATCAGTATTTCTTTGATCACGTTTTTAATTGTTTATACAGGGCAGCCAGAAGCGAGGGGGGGGGAGTGACGATGCTGCAGCCCCCCAAATAATTGTAAAACTGTACTATGTTACCTTGATAACAATGTACTGTATTGTCAAGACAATGGGCAGCCCTCCACACCCCAATATGAATTTTGTTCCGACGTCAGTGTTATATTAGGTAAACTATAACCAAAAGAAAGATTAGCCAATGTTGGCTGGTTTTTTTAATATAATTCTTTGCGACTGCAGTTCCAAAACAAGTATTAACATTCAAGCATTTGAAAAGAAAGCCCAGGTTATTACCATAGGCGTACAGGGTGAGTTCAGGTAGATGGGGCTTAAATTTTTTTGCCAAAAAAATATTTGATGTCCATATTTTTACAGAGAATACCCTTACACATACAAGCTTCTAATATTGATCAAGCAATGATTGGCAACATCATTAAAATGAGGCTAACTAATTAGCATTTTTTAAAATATAAAACAGAAAATAGCTTTCGAGTTTTCATGAAAAGAAATATAAATCTTTCCCTTGACGGCTACCAAAGATATTAATAATTTTATTGATACCTTTTTTTGAGAACATGATTTGAACATTAACATTGTCAGTATTAAAGAGGGTGACATTGTCAAGTCTTTGCTGTGTTATGAAGATATGTGTAATGCTAAACATGATGCTGCTGGAATAGTGGCCAGGATTTGCATCCCTTCAGCAAAATCCAAAACATTGTCATCATGCATCCTTTTTAAGCAATCTAAGCACTTTTTTGCTTAATCTATTTGGTAGAAGAAACAAACCTTTCTGATGATTTCTGTTGTAAGGCTAGCACTCATGCTTGCATTCCCAAATGCCAGTGGCATAAGGCAGTTAAGGACACCTTAGTTTTATAGCTAAGGGCCCCCAAACAAAAGGGACCCAGGGTGCTTTTGTGTACATATTTTTAAATCTTTGCTCAAGTTCAGAAATCTTCTAAAACTTCTAAAGTTCTTTAACTGAAGCTCTATAACTCAGTGCTATTGTGTTTTAAGTGCTCTACACCTTTAGATTGGATCTTTCTGCAGTGTGTAGGTAGAGGTCCCATAGCAGATCTCTCCTAAGGACCCCAGAAGTCTTCTTTTTGCCATTGCCAAAGCACGCAATATTTATTGGTCTTTGTCACTAAATTGTGCATTTCTCCCAAGACTTTATCCATTACAGAAGCTTGTCTTTAAATAATTTGTACAACCGTTGAAGACTTCATAAATTTGGACAGTAAAATAGCGGTATTTTGTTACTTTTTGACAATCATCTCAAGCACTATTTGCGCTATTGCTGTTCTTGTAGTCTGTGCCCCAGTCTACAAATGCTGCCACGCTTATACATTTTCAGTATTGTGGACTGGGCGCAGGCTTTGTTCACATCGCTTAATTTATGTTTTCACACAACAGGTTATTTCAACATTATTCAATTACTACTGTAAGCGCTCTTGATTATGGCTACTTTACTTATCTCAGAAATTTATAAACATGTTCAAAATATTTATGTTTTGTTTGTCTTTGGAGAAGGCTCCTGCCCAATTTTTGCCCAACAAAATCAGCTGCCTGAATCTTGGGAGGCTTCAGTCCCCCAGCATCCCCCAGCCCCCCAGCATCCCCCAGCCCCCCAGCACCCTCAGCCCCCCACTCCATACACATATGGTTATTACAAACTTCAGTACAACTTCAGTATGGCAATGATTAATATATGAACGCATTTGTGATCACCTGCCAAATAATTATCAGGACTTTACTTGATAGTGGCCTATATTTTTCAACAGAGTGGAGAACTCTTTACTTTGACATATGGAGCTCTTGTTGCACAGTTGCTTAAAGACTATGAAGCTGATGAAGAAGTTAATCGTCAATTAGAAAGAATGTAAGTTACCCAGTTTCAGTCACAAAGTTCTCATCAACGTAAAAAGGGTTATTGTCAAAGATCTAAGTAATGAAGATGGAAATTTTGAAGCTGTAAGCACAGAAATCATAACTCTTTTGATAAAGTTTTAAACTATGTAAGACTGCAAAATCTTCCAAATCATTAAGGATGAATTTTTTTCAAAAACCAGCTGTTTCCTAATTTCAGCTTGTTATTGAAGTAACTATTTTCACGAGAATAATGTTTCAGAATCCATTATATTCTTTTTTTTTCACTAAAAAACAAACAACCAATTAAACACATTTCTTTCACTCATGCTCACATTTGGACTTTATCTAATATTTTTGCTCTGAGTAGTGTTGGACAAAAAGTACTTTTGTATGAATTAATTTTGCTCCTCCATGCTATTTTCAAGCATTAGATTTGTCTAATTTGTATTTTCCCAGGGGCTACAACATTGGTGTGCGATTAATTGAAGATCTGCTTGCCAGATCAAGTATTGGTAGATGCCATGATTTTAGAGAAACTGCTGATGTTATAGCAAAGGTTAGTGTGCTTCTTCATGCTTCCTTTTCTTCACTGGATGAAACGGGACCAAGGAAGTTCTTTGAAAAGGCTTTTGAAGGAACCTTTGTATCAAATCCCTCAAATAATTGAGTAATATTCAGTATCTGGTCCATCAAAAACAGTTTTCTAAATTTAATTGTGTTTATATTTTGCAGAGCGAAAATATTATAGATAATATTGAGAAGGATGAACTATCTAGTCTAAATATCTATGTTATTTAGTATTCTATTTTTCTTTTCTTTCATTTCCAGCATCTTCTCCTTCTTGTTCTTCTTCCTATTCTCTCTATTCTTCTTCTTTCTCTTCTTTATTTTATCTTAAATATGATTCTGACTCTGCTTCTGCTTCTTCCTCACATTTTTTCTCTCCCTTTTCTTTTTGCTGTATCTCACTCTTTATTATCATTTTCCTTTGCCCTTATTTTCTTATTCTTCCATCTTATTTTCTTTTCTTCATTTTCTTGTCCTCCGTCTTTTCCTTCAACTGATTCTTTGCCCTGATCTTCTCCTCCCCTTCTTATTCTTCTTCTTCACCCTCAGATGTAGTTTGACGTGCAATTCTTTCCAACCTTTTTGGAAAATTCATTTTTCAATGGTATATTCATATATCTCTTTCTCCCTCTAGGAACAATTTTTTTAACTATAAAGTGATTCAGGATATTAGAAAGTACATTTTCAGTTTGAATTGTATGACAGTTTCCTAACATTGCTCTTGGGGAAAAGGGGCAGAAGAAGAAATAAGGTTTTAGCGTGTTTGATGTTATTGATGCCCATAGATCTCGTCTTGCCCTTTCAAATAAAAACACTGCAAATGATAGTTGCCAAAAGCTAATTTTGTCTTATGTTTGTAGCCCATGGCAAAGTTTTAACATGATAGATTACAGCCCTATACAGTATGAAAGGTGTATTGTGGGGTTTCGCACAATAGGATGTTGCATCATGAAAGACATGATTGATTAGCACTTTTCGAATCCCAGCACTCCTGCTGTTTTTATAGTGGATACGTAGGGACCTCTTTGGCAGTTATTCTGTTTTTACTGTAATTCTTTTAATGTGACATGTCTCTAGTTATTCAAACTACCAAAGTGATTTCTATTAAAAAGGCATCTATAGTGCTGCATCACTTATACAATGTTTAACTTGACAAAACCTATCCACTTTGTTTTCCGATATCCTTTCTGTTTTCTCATTTGCTGACAATATTGTGTTTTGCTTTTGGTCGGGTGTTGGCAGCATTGCTAAGTCAGCATTGTTACGCCTCTCTCATCGTATTTGGCAATCGGTAGTCACTTCAGTCTGCCCCATTTTTTGAAACAATAACGTAATGCTCAATTTTTAAGTGTAGATCTGGACTAATAAATCAGTTTTTTTGATGATTTAAATTTTGATGTGAGATCTCTTTTGTCTGGAAGAGATAAACGCCTTTTGAAGAAGCCTTCAGTCATTACGAATATATTTTCTTGATTTACATGGGAAGGGTACGAAACGACTGTTCTACGTTTCAGTTTGTTCTAAAATTGACAGCCAAATATTGAAACATTCAAATTTAGGGAAATTTTTTGTTTTAGTAGGTGTAAAATCCAGACCACATTTGAATGAAATAAATTAACAAAAACTGGACGCTCTGTTAATAGAGAAAACGTGTGTGAATAATTTTATTTTGAACTTTGACAAATCATTTTTCCTTGCGTCTCGTATCGTTATATCACAAAGGATTAAAAAACAGTTAGCAGACATCTGGGAAGTATTCATATGAATATGATACGCCTACTTGAGGTTTTCAGTAAATTTCTAATTTCCAAAATATCGAAATTTATGTGTTTTCTAACCCAACTTGGTGAATTCATTCATAAAACGAGTTTTCTGTTCTTAACATAACCTCTTCTGACGTAATCCTTTCATAAAAGGTTCTTATGGTATGTCCGATAATACGATCAAAGTTTTTCCCAAACACCAAAACTGCACACTGATCATTTACTAAGTTCGCAATAGTCTTTTTAATTTCTATAAATATTGATGGTTTCTTTGGATTATTTTACTGATACAAAAGGCTGTCACATGAAAAAATTAACAATCAACAATTAATTGAGGTTTTACATTCACAGTTCAATTTTAAAGAATCAATTTATATCATATACATGTCTCGGTTATACAAGAACTACTTTGATTGGCTTTTTGCAGAAATTGCAGATTTGAAGTTTATTTTTCCAGCCCATTTAGCTGATTGGTCGTGAAATCTTTTTTCTACCATAGCAAGGATTCAAGACATTTCTTGGAATATCTCCGCAAGTTGTTGGATGGAACGCGGCTGGGGACGAATTTTCGCTTGTTATTGAGAATAACCCATTAGCAGAATTTGTCGAGCTACCGGAAGGACATAACAATCTTTGGTATTCAAGCATCCTCATCGGGGTAATCAAAGGAGCCTTGGAAATGGTAATATTTCGTTACATTAAGCTTAATTTTGTTACATAATCCCTTTTTATTCATTCATTGTCTGTACCTTAGGTCAGCATTTTCACATAACTCTGTGAATCAAACGTCTTCCTGGTTACCAAAGTTATTAAAGAAGTTTCCCTAGAAGAGTTTCAAAAACAGAAAGCCAAACCTTGCTTTGAATGAGAACACCACTCTAATCACATCTTTGTAAAGGTCTGAGACATTGGGATCACTTCCTGGTACGGTATTTTACTTAATTCAAGTGACAACCTAGGATGTTTCTACAATTTATTTGGTCTATTACTGGAATTGCGTTGAAATACTTGGATACATTGCTTGTGTATAAAGTGCTTTTATATGGCATTCAGACTGAGAAACCTACCTATGTAATTGGCAACGTATTTGTTAACGATGTTGGAGCTTGGGGACTACAGCAGAATAGCAACGTGTTCTCTCCAGTGAAAATTGGTAAATCAGAAATGATGTTTTCAGCAGTTGTTTTTTGGGACCTCTCTCTAATACAGTGGCTTGTCAATTGCTAAGATCATAATCAAACAAAAACAATCTTGGTGAGACATGAACCGGTTGTAGAGCAATATTTTGTATTTCAAAGTTTGAGCCCCACCCTAGGAATCAAAATTTTGCGCTTCTGTCTTCTGACAATAATAGCAATGTTTGATATCATGCACGAAATTTTCTTGAATGCATGTAATCGCCAGAGGATGTTAAACTAGTCAAAGTTTTCTATAGAGGAGAGGATTACTGACGGTTTCCCCGATGCCCTTCAACCATTGAACCTCCTTACCTTCTTGTCCACCAGCCCTGACATACCTTTGTAGTCATCTTTCGTAAGTTCAGCTCTACGAACAAAAGTTATATATTAGTCAACAGTAGGCTTAGCCTATGAGCTGGAGTTTTTCAATCAGGCCACCATTACCTACTTTGCCGTCGTTTGAAACGATGGAAATCCAGCCGAAGGAAACCAAAGAGAAACCTTTCTTTGAGTTATGTTTCCTGTCGTCTAGACACTTTCATAGCCCTTCGGGTCGTAAGCAGATTTCTTGGAATGTTATCGCGAAATTCTACACAGGATTTTATTCAATTAAGTATTTAAGCCCTTGTCCATATTTGATAGTAGTGCCGCCAGCGGGCCTACCATATCCCGTGCGCCAATTATTTTCAAGGATATCCCGGGCCTATCTAACGCTTATTGTCATTGAGGTGAATTGCGCACGACAAAATGCAGCCCATATCTCTCAATCTGTACGTGAGAGACCCCGATGGCGCCACGTGCGCGCCCATCAATGAGACGTATCCTTAAATATGTCTTTAACTTTGGTTTCAAGCTCAAGATTGTATCTTTGATGGATGCCCTCTTTTTAATCTTGATTTCAAGCTCCATTTTTCTTAGGGCTCAGTTGTTTTTTATCAAGACTTATGGCGGATTTGACGGAGCTTAGACACACGTTATCTTGTGTTCAAGCTTTGTATCCGCTCTCATACGCATATCTCATTGATTCCATTTTATCGAAGATATGCACTTTTTTCTTATAAGCAGTTGGTTTACAACAAACCTCTGGTAACTTGCCCAGAGAATCGAGCAACTTGATATCTGCACCTAGGGACCGCGCACCAGTCTAAATGTGGGAGGGCTGAAAAGGGCGTAACCGAAATTTTTTTGAGGCCATGCCCTCTAGAATGCCGGAAAACGCCCCTTTTAGAAAATACTGGCTCATTTCTACTGGGGTTTAATAAATAGTCTGGTTCAGAGAAGATATCAAGAAACTGCTTTTACTTAGGAGTATACTTTTCAATATTGTGTAAACTTTCCAAAAAGTTTTCCAACATATATTAATTTTCGCAAAAAAGTGGAAGGGCTATAGCCCCTGCTAGCCCAATGGCTGTGCGTAGAAATTCCTCGGGAAGAGGGCCAGAGCTGAAGAAAATTTGGTCAATATCTGTCGAAAAGTATAGGGATCGGTCAATAGCCTGAATTTTAGAAAGTGGCATTTTTGCATGGCTTCCTTTGGATATTGCCAGACTAGCAGAAGGAAAATGAAACACATTTTGTGACTGAAGTACTGGCAATTTGACTTTTTAGCCGTTCCCTCTGCCTTAGTTTAAAAGTAAAGTACATGTAGGCTGCAATAGGTAGATAACATAAGCTCCCATGCAGTTGATGAAGCTGATTCACCATTTCGCCATGTGTGGCAAGATTATCAAGGTTTAGCATAGCTTTCTCTATTGTTGCGAGTCCCACATATTTTTGGCATATTAAGAATATTCTAGCTTTTACTTGTGTGTGAAAGGTTTTCTGGAATGTCATGTTCCTTAGGCCAAGGCCCTAAGGGCGAGCCCCTGAGGGCCAAAATACATAATGTATTCAGACACAGTTGTGGAAAGTTATAGCGGCTTTTTGAGTAAGCTCTGTCACAACTTGGTTTACTGTGCTGGGCAGTTTCTATAACAAAACGAGGAAATCATAAATGAAGTTGAGATTCATAATTTCTAACATCAGTTTTTTGTAAGAGTTTATTGAAATTTTATCAAATTCTGTCCGTTTATCAATGTATGTGATCATTGCATTAAATTCATAGCAACTTATTTCTTCTTCAGCATTTTTTGGCAACTGTTTCCTCATGCTTTGCCTCGCCCTGGTCTACCCAAACATCCAGCAATACCTTCAAGAAACAACAATACGTTGGAGTAGATTTTATAGTACCTAGCTTTTTATTCTCGAGTGTCAACCTGTGCTACTGTTGTTTCCATTCGACACGTGGCAGTTGAAACAAACAGTTGAATGCTACAGATGATGCTGCTCAATAAAGTGCATTTTCTACCTCATTTACCGAGCCTGATTTCCCTCTTTTCCCTGAGTAAAAGCCTCACATTTAAGAATTTCATTTGAACAATTCTTTTGGCATTTGTAGATTGAGTCAAATTGGAAAGTAAAAAAAGTACTTTACAGTCAAACTTAAATAAAAGCTGATATGCTAGTTTGTGAACAATTCGCTTTCCAACACTGAATTCTATTGAGAAACTCTGTCGTGAAGAAGACTAGGCAGATATACCTGTCTAAAAACGTTTTTGCTCAAGGTTGCCAGATAGGAATTACAAAAGAAGGCCAAACGGGTAGGCAACTCAGCCACAAATGCTCATAGAAAGGCCAAATCAAAATATATTTCCCAAAAATACATTGAGCCAATAAGGCCAAATTTAAGTAGTAGGCCAAAAACATATTTTCCAGGGCATTTAACTATGAAAAAGGCCAAAATTGGAAAATTTAGCCTGAAAAAGGCCAATCTGGCAACCCTAGTTGCCTATCAATACAAGCAAGGAGCTTGCCAAGAAACATTTTATCGTGCCAATTAAGTTTTACTGTTAATGAATAATCAAGCCAGGAACATATTCACTGAATTCTGCGAGGTTTCTAGCCATTTTTATTTATGAAACATTGCTAATAAGCAATATGTTGCCGTTTCAGGTGCAGATGGAAATCGAGGCAGCATTTGTGCAGGATATATTAAAAGGAGACCCGACCACAGAACTCAGAGTGAAGTTTATCAGAAAGCTAGAGGACGCAGTCCCTGCCGGGGAAGAGTAGCTTGTAAGTTGTTTATTAACTTTAATTAAATATTGTTTATAAGCATACTTCTAATATTAATTAGCACCATTTTTCGTTAAAATTATGCTTGATTACCAAAACTTCATCTTTCTCTAGAACTTTACAGAATTTATTTCCAATATTGAACATGTGAGTTCCAAGAAAACAGCGATACAGAAGTGATAATGGATATTTTAGTGAAGAACAACCTAAGTAACTATAGATTAATTGTTTCTGGAAAGTTTAATTGATTAAAAGTTCAGTCCTAATTCCTAAACAATGGAAAAGCCCCATATTACTGCCCTTTGGTCTAGCCTAATGTAAATCAAACGTATTTGATGTTATTTGACAGTTGATCTTCGCAATATCAGTAAAATTGTAAGGAATCATGTTAAGTGCTCTTAAATCTTGTATGAACCACTCCTTCCTCCACTGAGCTGCATTACAACCTCCGGGTTTCGTCTCTGGAAAGCCTAACCTGGCTTACCTACTTACAACTTCACACGTGTCATTATCTTTAATTCATGATTATGTATAAAGTGTTAGACACAAAGTCTCTTATTTTTTCGCGCCAAGATCATGATTTTTTACTTGCAATAGATCTGTTTATATACACAAATACACTGACTGTTTTTACATGAGCTTAAGTTTGACAATGGAAGTTTTCGTATGTCTACTGACAATTAATGATTCGCAGTTAGTGTCTAAAGCTAATGAATTATTAAGAAATCTGTACGACAGTGCTATCTGATTTAGAGCGCACTCTAGAACTAGCACCATTCCTTGCTGACTGAACCCAATGTGCAGATGTGTGTTTGAGATTTTCTTCGGTGGTCTACTTGTTAAAATATTCCCATTGCTTGCTGACGTCACAGCTAGGAATGAAGATTTCCTTCTTAACAAGTAAATATTAGGTGTTATAGAATAAGACTATAATTCCTGTCTGACTGAGTGTTCCTCGAATCTGTAACAAATGCCGATTATATTGACAGTGAGGGATAGTTATATGTTTTCGATTGTTTTGCCCGTTTCTGTCCTGAAAGTGAGAAGATTTAAAGGTCAGGCTGCATTTTGCCCTTATAGAAATATGCCAATTGACACAGTTCTAAACAAGCCTATTTGCACAGCTCTAGGCAAGCCTATTTCAAAGGTTTTAGGCCAGATCGCACTCATCCGATCATGCCTAATTGCACGGTTCCAAAATTTGTCCTAAGGTTTCTCAAGGAAAACTGGATCCAGAATTTTGTCGTTAGTAGATATTTGTATACAAATTTGTTCGTGTTTTGTGATGACAATAGAAATGCGTTACACTGCTGGCACTTGTGGAGAATTTCATTGGAAAGTCAGTTTAAGCTGGATAAATTGAAATTTCTCTTAGCGTCATACCAAATGGACCGAAGTTTAGAGAGATGTGAATTTTCAGGACGTTGCTTGTACAAGGATTTGACCGGAGCACAACATTTTAAAATATGATTATTTGCCGGCTGTTCTGTTTGGTGGTGCTCTTCATACTTACGAAGAATAAGTACATATAGCAGAGGTATTTGACTTGCTCTAAGTCTATTCGTGCTTGAGAAAGGTGTATTTGTTTCTTTGTGTGGATCGTCTCCTTCCGTCTCCTTCGAAGAAGTCTACAGGAAGAAAACAAATACTTTCTATCATGTACAACTGTTTTATTCGTTTGTCTTTTTTTGATCTAGGCCTGTGGATTCCTTGCTCTTCAGTCGTCACCTACTACTTCTCATTTAGCCTTTGAAATTTGCCATCCTTTTTCCTATTCTTAATTTTTTTTCTGTGCAATTATTCCTCGTTTATTTTTTATTTTTTCTTACGTGTGCTAAATAAAGGATTTGCCTCGGCATGGTCACTAGTTCACAAGCGCTTCACAGCTTATCCAAGGCCTCTTTGAAAAGAAGACACAAAGGCATCTTTTTTATCTGAGCCTAATCAAAGATTTATGGCCTTGTATTTGCTAAATCTTTCAAAAAAAGAACGATTGATCTGCTTTGATGAAAGACTCGTTTGTTATTTTTGTCAGAGGGCACAGGTTAGGCACAGAAAGGTCGCTGTCAATGTAATAATGTATCAGCTTTTTGGAGTTTCACAGTAGCGACTTATTAGTGTATCTAAAACAGATCCAACACTAAAGAAGTTGATGTATATTATAGTAGAATGCAGGACAATTCTCATTCATGTATTTGATGGAATCCCCCATTCTAAATACAAAATGGGCGTCTTATTATTTGACGTGTATTCTTTAGACCTTAGAGTGCTTCATAGAAGCATTCGTGAGGGGATTCCTCTTCTACATGTTGTTTGGAGGCATCTTTGGTTACTTATAAGATAGTATTTACTTGCTCTCTAAGAAAGCCTTCTTCGCCAGTTGCAGCGCAGCTGATGTCTTGTCTGTCTTCATCGTCCCAGCTCCCATGGCAACATTTTCTGTTCACGTGCTGTTTGCGCGTTTCATGTTAATCCAATATATGTAAGCCTTTTATCCAGTTCCAAGTAAAATTAAGTGTCTCTAATCGCGGCGAATATGATAGCCTGAAATGTGTAAATAGCCAGCTTATGTCTTTCCTTTAAATTGAAAGAGATTGGTTCTTATGCAATTGAGATGTTAATAATATGCTATATGGTTATTAAAGCCAATTGATATTTTATAGAATCTGTAATGCCTCGAGTTATATGAAAATTCAACTTTTGCTTTAGTTTCATAAAACCCTTGTCCCTTGTTTAGACATATTTTGAACACTGCAACATGTTGTGAATTTTATCGAAATAGATTTTCATTTTATGGTTTTGTAAACTATTTGCCCCCTTTTTGTGGCTGAAGTAGAGAAGATTGGAGAGACAATATCACTGTACTCTGTGACTTACAGTGCGTTCAACATTACTTCGATCCACAATCCCGGACAAAAATAGTTGCGACTTTTCAAGGAAAGTTGATAATTTCTCTTTTATTTGAAAAGTATCTCCCCTCCTCCTTTAAATGCATGATTTTGAAGGAGAAATGATAGAAGTACAAATCCAACATTGATTCGGGGGGAAAGGAAGGATTCAAATTTACAGGGGCAACAAAGTGTAGAAAATTGCAAACTTTGCATTTTGTCTCAACAACTTTATCCGGGATTGTAGCTTTCATAGAAACAAGTCGTTGTGGCCAGCTGAAGGTAGCTTGAAAACATCTTTGTAACGGGATTCTATCAGTAGTTAACAGTATCGTTGGCAGGATAGGATTATTGGGTGGGGCATCATTGTTTGAGAGCAAGAGGAACTGAAGGGATTTTTCATTTTGTTGACGCCCCCCCCCCCAAAGAACAATAGTAGCTAAGACCCTCGTAGCATTCAGTTTTGGCAAGAAACTTTCTAAAAGGAATTTCAGTAGTCTCTCCCTCTCCCAAAATTGCGAAACTCATCAAAAAGGGATTGAATGCTTTTGATCTGTGGCTGTAAATTCAGTTTTTGTATCATTTCCAATTACCTACAACCAAATATTAGTAAAGAATTCTACACTAGAGGGCCTTTTCTAGGAATACACTCTTTCAATACAAACACACATTACAAGAACATTGAGGCTCAACGGTGTAAAACTTGTCCATACCCGAATGATAACTACAAAATACAATGTGCTTTAGAAAACTTTCTGTCGTGTTAACAAACCAGTGGTGATTTTGCCATCTTATCCAATGTGCTACTTAAAAGGTCATCCGAACTGTTTTTAGTGGTTTTAGAAGCAATTTATAGTATGCAGTTATGAAACTTAAAGTCAGTTTATAGATGAACCAGTTTTGAAACAAATTAGAACCATCAAGCTGCAGATTATCCGGAAAACAAGAGCGTTTAGCCTTGGCAGAAAATATCTGGTTCTTTTTTGAATGCAGAACTGCAGCACTTATTCTGTCGGGGTAACTTTTCAAAGCCGTTTATACAGACTGCAGAGTTACTTGATATTTTCCCTACCTGTTCTTATTATATATTGATTCCTTTACGTTACTTTTTCTTTCTTCTGTCTGAACTAGCTAGACTGATACTTGCAGTCAGATGTTTAGGTCATTGTTGATCATTGGATTAAGAAATGTAAATGGATTTAGAGATGTAGCTTGGTGATATCGGAGTAAGCGTGATGATGAATGCTTCAAGTATGTTTGATGAACATATTTCATTTTGTCCTCATTAACATGCTAATAGTGGTTTCTTTGTAGTCACATAGCAAAAATTATCCGAATGTTATATAGGAATTTATATTACTTTCAGTTTTGACGGCCATTGACTTTGAAATGAGGCTAAGACAACGAATAAGAGGTTGACTAAGCAATTCATTAAAATTTATAGTTCGCTTTTCAACTCCCATTCTTGCAGAGGTTAGGGAAGTCTCCGCTTGTGTTTTCACTGTTGTTGTGGAACCTTTTAAAGCGTCTTTCACTTCTTTCTAAAGGCTTTTTTTGTATCATTATTAGCCAATGAGCCACCAAAATTTTATGTCATTTGTTTATATTTATTGTGTTTTTTCTATGATTTAAAGGTAGTATTTAAATGGTTTAAAAGTTATCGCTTTCTCTCTATGTCTTCACTCTTTAAGAGCCATATAAATTTCTGCTCAGGCTCGATGTTCTTCTTTCTTGGATAATCTGAACCTTCAGTGTTCTAAATCTTGTTTCAAAATTGGCTCGTCTGCAACCAAAGACTATGAATTGTTTCTAAAACCATTAAATAACAGTTTGCGTGACCTTTGAGTTGCTTTCTGCGAAGTCATGTTCTCGTGTCTTTCTTGGTTTTTTTTGTCAAATCAAGCCTCTTTGTTCTTACGTATAGAAAACGATGGATAGCAGGCTAACTGATAACCATATTGTGTTTTTCAGAGGGTATGTTGCCACGAGACTTAGGAGCAATGAAAAGAACCCCAAAGGGTTTGATGACGCATTTTTCATTAAAATAAACTTAGTAAATATCCGCTTGTAAAAGAAGTAAGAAAAAGTATATATAACTTTTGTAATACATATGTAATAATTTTTGTGTGACCAACCAAAAATTTTGACATTTTGTGGCTAACAATAGTATATTCATTAAAACTATAACTTGTTGAGAGTGTCATATATCTTTTCTGAATATGATCCAGATTAGTGTCACAGTCGGAATCATTTTGTGTTCCATTCATGCCATTCTGCGTCTAAATTTTTCAAGATTTTTATGAAAAATGGCATCCTCAATAATTTATTTAAAAGGACCTCAAACCGCTCTGTTATGCTATGGTGCAATGTAATTTTATCGGCGGTTGCTCTTGCCTGTAGAAATGTATCTTAGATGATAGTTATTGGTGTATCCCTTGTTGAGATGGTCTTCATCTCTGACTGGTATCTGGCTGAATTTCTGGGGACAGTTAAATTTTCTTAGGGCAATCTATTTGTTCCAAAATGACAGTTTTGATATCTATATCAAAATTGGTTATTTCTATTTCGCATTATGCATTTCACAAAATATGATAAATTTACTTTTTTCAAGGATGGAAATCACAGAATTATGCCAAAATTGTCATAAAATTATGCTAGATTTACAAAAATTATGCTAACTTTCA